GTGAATGCCGGCAACAACTTTGTCCGTTGCCTACTTTTGCGGCGCATATTCTAATCACTCGAGTCACGCAAATGTCAATGTTGCTGTCAAAGTGTCAATGAAATGTTCAATGAAAATAAAACGAGCAAGAAATAAGACAAACGGGGCAAAAGTGCGGGGAAGTTGGGGGTGTTTGGGGGGCGTGGTAGTTAACACTGCAGAAGAAAACTTGTGCCAGGGCCAAAGACTTGCGGAAAGCAACAGCTCTGCACAAGTTTCAGTGCCGCTGGCCGCGTTTGTTATTGAAAATGTGTGTGGTTTATATGGAAATACCGTTGAAAATGTTTTTCTTCTATTTTCTATTTTTCTAGTTTGCTCGTTGCTGTTCTTGTTGTTATTTGTTTTATTAATAAGGCGCAAAGGCGCAAGCCAAGTGCGTCGATCTCTCTCCCTTTCTCTCATTCTCATTCTCATTCTCTCTCTCTCTCTCCCCCTCTCTCTCACACCCTCGTTTTGTCTGTCTGTCTGTCTGTGTGCGTGCGGAAGTCCTTTGGCGTGTGCCAGTTTATTTCTATTCAGTTTTTTGCTTCGCTTGACTCTCAATTAAATTTTATTGGCAACGCCGGGCCTTTGGGCCAACAACATTGACTTCTCCAACTACTCCTACTCCCCCTTCATCCACCACTCCACCTCCCCTTTCAGCTCCTCCTTCAACTAATATGGGCAACAAAAATTAATAGAGCAAAAAAATGCAAAGTCACTTTAACTACTAGGCAATTGGGCCAACCATCAAATCGTTTCAAATAACTATAATTTTTCTGAGACTTACTTTAAACACTCAGACACAAACAATAATATCACCCTAAAATTCAGAATTTCACCAAAGTTTTGGCAGCAAAGACAGCTTAACTTTTTATTCGAAAAGTAGATTTCTAAAACAAAAGGGGTTGTTTGTCTTTCTCACAATCGTTAAGTGACATTTGGCCATGAAAACCATCTGCGGCAACTGTCAACAAAATTATCTTTTCCTTAGTCGGTGCTTAAAGCATCTCTGATTTTATATTTAGTGGCTACATTTATTTATTTATTATTTGATTTGGATGTTTCTAACAACTAAACTTTATTATATTAGATACTGTATATTTAATTACTTTTTTCTGCACTTTAGAAAGTACTTTTCACTAAAAATATTACATTTTCATTGCGGCTTTTAAAACCCCATTTTAAAAATAGGAAAACTCTTTTATAATTTTAAGCAGTATTTTTGGGTATATTTAGAAACAGAACATTTCATTTCTTTTTATTCGATTTACAGTTTAGGTCAATATTTGAAATTTGAGTCTATTTTTTCTTTTTAAGTTCTTGTAAACTCAGTTGTGCATATTTCCTAAAATACTGACTACTTTAACTGCTATATTACGCCGTCTGTATTGCATTCAGGGTATCTGTTAGTTGATCAGATTGGATTACTTCATTGTTTGTCGCTAGCTTATGTTAATTACTCTAAAGACACACAATGACAGCAATTTGTGCAACATTTGCCCCGCATCCCTATCCCTACACAACCCTTTACCCATTCATTATTAAGCTGTGCATGTCTGAAGTGGAACTCAGACACACACACACCAAACACACGCACACAACAAACACACACACACACACACAGATGAGACAAACTGTCGATGGAAATGTGGCACAATTTACACAGCCAGAAGCGTAGTCAAAATTTGTCGCCTGATCAATAATATTGACGGAGCTGCTACACAGCTCGCAACACAAGAGGGCTATAGGAATTTCTGGGGGGTGGGGGTGGGGTGTGTAAATAAAATTTGCATGCAGCTGAGGCAGCGACAGGTAGAATGATGACGAAATTAAAGCAATACAACGTGCAACCAAATGATGATATAGTCACATATATATAGATGTAGAAACGCTTCATTGCTCCCAAAGCAGCATGCATGTGCGAGTGTGTGTTAGTGTGTGTGTTGGTGTGTGTGTTGGTGTGTGTGTGTATTTCTGGCGTAATGGCTGGTTGACTGGTTGCAGCATTTTGGCAAATGTTGGGTAAAATATATTCAGGCGCACGTAGGAAATTACAAACGGATGGAAATACATCGATTGCAAATGAAAAGCATTACAAAATGCGGACAAAATAGGTGCAAAATGGGGGCTAAAAGGGGCGTGGCACCATAGTGGCATAGTGGCACACACAAAAGGTGAACTCGATAAATGGTCTGATAAACTTGCAACCGAATCAAATAGTTCAATGAGCCCATAAAAACACTTTAATATGCGTGGACAACGAGAACAAAAGCAATTTTCGCATTACTTACTGTAACTAAAACAGAGAGTGTATCCAGGTGAGTATGGTGTGTGTATGTGTGTGTGTGTGTGTGTGTGTGTGTGTGTGTGTGTGTATGTGTGTGTATGCACGCCCCACGAGCATCGATTGCAATTAATTGGAAATGTCTTGCAGACAAAATTAACACATTTGGAAATGCAATATTGAATATTTGAGGCCAATCGGCAATCGACACTTGCCGCAAGGCAACACTGCAGCTTCCGCAAAACTGGCAAGCTCGGCAACTCTGTTCGCCAGGCGGCCAGGCGGCAATTTGCATGCCAAGTACTTTTGTGTAAGTTTTGCCAGCAACGCTTTGGGCGCCATTTCAAAATGCTCAGCAGTAAGAATTATGAATTTGCAGTTGGGGCATAGAGATAGATAGTTACTGGTGAAAGGTGCAAATTGACGTGGCAAGCTTAGCAAAGGGTTAATTGGCAACTCGATGAGGCAATAATTGGAACTATAAAGCACAACTTGGCCAATTAAAAAACTAGTTCTCATTAAAAGAGAAGATGCCAGAAGGAGTTGGTGAGTGTAGTGTAGTGGATAATAAAGATGTATAGTAGAAGGGATCGTCTACTTAATACTTTATTCAAAGCTGACAAGGAGCCAAGCTTATAAATATAATAATAAAATTATAAAATATAAATTATGCTGTGCTTTACTCAAAAATCGTTTCTGAATAGTTACTCTTTTCCAGAAATAGCTAAATAGCGATCCACATAAATGCTTCAAGTATGCTAAACTCAAAGTCTTGTTTAGTAATGTTTACTTAAGATATCAGTAAATTTCATATATGATATGATTTATTATCAATTATATATATTTTTCCAGTAATTCTGATCATCTGGGCAAAACTAGTAATTTTTATTTGAAACGAATTTAACCATCCAAAAATACTCAAGTTACAAGATATAATATGCTTAATGTAATATTTATATAAATATTTGTATTTTTGACGAACTGCGATCGACATATGTGGTACATATATTAAGTATGATATGCATCACTTACAAATCGCTATTGAATATAAATAATAAATTGCGTACTTTATTTCAGGAATTCCCAACCACCATTCGTAGATGAGTGCAGGTGTTTGCAGACCCACACACAGCATTTTGCACGCATGCCAGCTTTATAAAAATAAAAATTTGTATAAATGGAAATGTAAGAAAAATAAGAAACGCATAGCATTTTAATTAGTGCGCAATTAATTGCGTATATCGTTGAGGGTGGAGGGAAATGGAGGATGTGAGTGGCAGGAAGTGGAAGTGGGGTAGTGGTGAGGTAATCACATCCTTAAACACTAGCGCTGGAGCTGACGTATTTGCACTAATTTATTCATTTAGCTGGCAATTAAAGTGTACGCAAATTAAATAGAAACCCGTTTGACTGCATTTCAAGCAGAATGAAATAACACAAACTTTAATTTGTGTGAGAACGCGATCGTCTCTCGTCCGCTGGTGCACTTTGTATTTATTCTATTTAATTTTCTGCGGCATCTTGCTCTATTTTTTTTTTGTTGGTTTGTGTTGCGCTAAATTTTATTTTAGTTTGGCGCCGCTGCCTTTAAATCAAACCGAGTTGCGACCCAGCAGCCATAAGTGCATACCGTCGAGGAAACTCGAGTGAGGGGCAACAGAGAGGGGCAAGGAGAGGGGGTCGAGACGATTCCATTCCATTTCCAGCTAAATAAATAAAGAGTGCATTTTTAATTAAAAGTTAAGTGGCAACTCATTTAAATTAATGTTGACTCAAGCGTCATAGCAAAACATTTGGCCAGCGAAGGCGAACAGAGAGCAACTAAAAAAATGCACTACACTCGCAAAAAGCAGTGGGGCGGTGTCGGGGGTGGGAAAGTCGTAGTAGGGGGCATGACCCTAAATAAGCATAATGCACTGCAGGACCTTGACTAAGAACTGCGTAATAGAGCCATGGACGGTGTACAAATTTGCTCGTCACGTAATTAGAACGTCTGAAAGTGAAGAGAAGAGAGCAGAACAGAGAAGAAAAGAGCAGAGAGAAGAGTGGAGATGGTGCATGCAATGAGTTGGTCAATGCCACATAATCATCCAGGCCATAATGATGGTGGCACGAGAGCAGCGAGTGCAGCAGCTTGAAACCAACTAGTATTGCAGCCAAGCGAGTAGTTCAAATACAAATTATTTCACTTTAATAGAAGCAACTCGAATGTATGAAGTTGAAACACTTGGAAGGAAACCAAATCCTGTGTTTTCTTTAATTTAAAGTTTTTTTTCTGTATATATATTACCAGCCTGTGACAGCCTGATAGACTCTGCATCATTACTAATTAAGGAAATCCACCACAACCACCAAGCATCTTATTATTTTACCCACTTTTAATTATCTGTTTAAGCTTTGACTTAGAACATGCAAAGTAAGCATGCATTAAATGACTTTATATACAAATATCCGCTTTGATCCTGAATACATTTAACATGGAGCAATGAGAAATCGGTTTTACATAGCATAAACTTTAAACTAATTAAACGACAACTTAAATGAATTATGTCTATAATAATATATATAATTGGCACCCTTTTGTCTTAGAATTCGAGTAATAATAAAACTTAAAGGCAATTTTGTCGAAACAGCACAGTCAAAGTTAAATACAACAAAGTATGCAGTAAGTAGTCAGTTAGAAAAATAATAGGAATTGTTTCGAAAATTACACACTGCAAAACTAACAAAATGGAGGACACCAGTGAATCGAGTAGTTCTGCATTCCACACAGCCGAGACGGAGAACAGCGAGGATCCGACCACGTCTCAGAATGCGCCAACAGCGAGCAAGTGCGAAAGCTCGCAGGTTGAACTGGAGATGGATAGGGATGAGAATGTGAAGATGGATGTGGAGGAGAAGCCAGCCTGCAGCGCTGACTATGAGAGGAGCCTGAAGAAGAAGCGATTTACGGTCAAGCGATGGAACAGCGTTGCCATGTGGGCCTGGGGTGAGTCTTAAGTACCTCAAAGCTGCACTGAGAAAAAAAATAGCACTGAAAACTAGAAAGTTTTTCTTGTTTTCTTAATAATGTCTAATTACAATGAAACATGTTCCAAAAATTTAGAAAGACTTGTGCCAAATCGGCAATCTCAAAAATACTCTGATTATTTTTATTTTGGAAATAAATTTCACTGGCTAATATAAGAGTTGAAAAATCAAAAATAGTAAATAATATATATTTTATGAGGAATAATTTATGTAATTCATGACAATATTTGTCTGAGTGTGATTATTAAACAATTTTTCTCCGACGTTCCTCTACTAGTGTTTGTTTTTTTGCAGACATTGCTGTGGACACTTGTGCGATTTGTCGAAATTCCATCATGGATCTGTGCATCGAGTGCCAGGCGGATCCGAATCAGAACGACTTCGGGGAGTGCACCGTTGCCTGGGGCGTCTGCAATCACGCCTATCACTTCCATTGCATTTCACGCTGGCTGAAGTTCCGATCCGTTTGTCCGCTGGACAATCGCGAATGGGAGTTCCAGAAGCTGGGACGTTAATGTATCAACTGGGCTTCCCCCTTCCCTTTCACTGAACGAGAGGGGGGAGGGGAAGAGGACTTGCTGGAGTGCGCTCAAGAGTATTAAGAAATCGTTGCGCTGACTCAGCGTCCTGAGCTTTATCATTATTTTGTGTTAATTATGCATTTTTCGCCGACTGGCCGGGAGAAGGGTTGAATGGGGGTGGGGCGGATGAGCGTCGGGAGTGCAGTGCTTCTCAATGCCCAATTATCATTTGTGTGCTAGCAACTTTTGCTGCACTTAATAAAGGAGCTGGCAGGCACACTGAGAAAAAAGTCGCCATGAATTTTAGAATGGTTTATAAATTAATAAAACTTATTTTTCTGCTTTTGAGAAATTAGTTTCTTCATAAAGCAAAATATTTATGAAAAATAAGATAAATAAATATTTATTTGCGATTTTCGACTGAGGGAAAACATATCCAATTTTAATATATATAAACATTTATAATGTATAATGTTTCTTATGTTAAGAAATTATATTCAAATATTTTTCTTATATTTACAAATTATTACTAAATACAAGAAAACTGTTACATATGCAGAGAGCTTTTCCAAAACGCAGTTAGATTTTTTCTGAGTGCAAGCAGTCAGGCGAAATTTGAGCTGTTCCTCCTCCGCATCCAATCGTTGTGCAACTCAAACTTTATCCATAGTTTCTTCTGGGAAGCAGGAGGAGGCGTAGAAGAATGTTATGGGTTGCTTTTGGTTGGATTATCACTTTCGCGGCGAGCGCTTTTCGCGTTGGCAACCTTCGCTGCACTTTTCGACGCATCTATTTTAAACAATTAGACCATCGATTTTATCAAGTGCGCTTTTCCACGCCATACCACGCCACGCTGCCAATTGTTTGCGGTGCAAACACGGCACATAATTAAATAAAATTACTGTTTAATTGTTGGCCAGAAAAAAGGAAATAAATAAATTAACACGCCAGTCAGCCCAGATGGCAAATCCTCGCTAGCCTCGACCCCGACTTCTTTTGTTTGCCTGACGTCTGCTGTCAGACACTTCGCCAGACACACACACACACACACACACACACATACACTTACAAGAAGTAAATAATTTTTGCGCACAACAAATTGGCAGCTTTCCATTCAACTTGTCTAAAACTGTTCTTGGTCGGCCGGCATTACTTACAGTTACCCTTTCACCTGCCCCGCCCACGCCTCTCTTATCCTGACACGCCCACCTGCGCCGTGCTGCTTGTTATGCCACGCGCCGAGTTGCTTCATTTAATTTTTGCACGAAAATTAAGTTTGTTTTCCATTAAGTTAAATAATTACAAAATTATTTACCACTCAAAGGCTTTGGCTCTGCAAACTGTGTGTGCTTCTCTCTCTGTGTGTGTGTGTTGTGTGTATGTGTGTGTGTGTGTGTGTGTGTGTGTGTGTGTGCGCGTGTTTGTTTTGGTAGAGTGGCATCGCTGCTGCGACGACATTTTGAATGGTGCCGAAGAACTAAAGCGGCAGCTGCACTTTTCCGTGTAACTGACAATGATAGCTGCCTGCTTGACTGACTCACTATGCGACCAGGGCTGCAAAGCTAATCCTGAATAAAATATCAAGCAAAACTGCTGACGTCGGCTATAATTAAACTGCAAGCTCGATATACCGTTGCTTTGGAATTTTCTTTTAAACATCAATGTTCTTTTTTAACGACAAAGTTACTCATCCTGCACCTTAGTCATGCCAATCTCTGACTTCTCTAATTTTGGTAAGATTCAGAATTAACGTCAAAAATACGCATATTAGCAGAGATATGAATGTTTGAAAAAGAGTATTTTATTTAAACGAAAAGAAGAAAAAGCATAATTTTTTAGGGAAAGTATGCATTTGTTAACCATTATTTGCCCACACTCAGCACTAGTTTTTTTTATTCTATTCTTTTTTTTTGGCAGTTAATGCAGCCCTGGTCGGCACGCCTTTTGGTTCCGGGTAAAAGTTTTGCTTAAACGCTGCTTTGGCTTGAGCCAAGGCTCATTATCTTTTCATTCGGTGTGTTTTTTCACTCTGCTCTACTCAGCCCTGCTTTTTGCTTCTGCTGCTTTTCTGCATTTGTCTGTGCGTTACGGCGTTTCTTTTCTTTAACGCTTCGCTAATCAAATTCAACATTTTTCCGTTTTAATTTGACAATTCGAAAACAGTTGGGAGGGGCGTAAAAGATGGAGGAGGAAGGGGCTCTGAGCTGACAACAGCTGTGCGTTGTCAATTGGAAAATGATAAAGTGAGGCGCGAATAAATGGAAAATGGAAATTGGCATCGCAAGTGAAACTGATAACTGTAAATGGTGTTGACAACACCAACAACAACAACAACAACAACAACCTCAGCAAGCCCGGGGGATATTTCAGTTGCTAAGCTTGTTAGTTTCGCATTTTTCTCGAACACTCCACTCTCTCCTCGCCCCTCCCCCTCTTGCCATCCTTGAAGTGCTGTGCGACATTGTCCTTCAAGGTGACCTGGCCAAGTAAAAACCCTGGGCCACTAAATGCATTACAATTAGCACAAATTATCCGTGTCCAGTTGCAGTAACTGCTGCTGCTGCAGCTGCTGCTGTTGCTACTTGGGGCAACTTGACTGAATTTACTTGCGGCGCGCGTGACTTGCAGCGTGCAACGTGACGAGTATGCCTTATTATGTATACGCACTGTCAGCCATGCATTGCGCCTGCTCTCAGCTCTTACTTAGTTGCCGAAATGAGCTAAAACACACTCTACACTCCTAAAAAATATTTTCTTTTAAAAAATAAATTCTGCTCTGTTGACTGACTGAAGTATGATAACTTTCAAAAATACAGGTTTATATTTTCTTTTCTCAGTGTACACACCCACACTCACTTCCACCAACATTTGAAGAGCCATTCCGCTTTTGATGTGCTAACAAGTCAGAATTTAAAGTTTACTTCCTTTTTTTTATCATTTTGAAGCATATTTTGTTTTAATTATTACGAGCCAGTTTCAGCTGCTAGCTGTGACTTGGCTCTTTTGTTATAATTTATGCATGGCTTTGACTGGTCTTTCATATGTGTCCCTTTTCTCCTCCCCCGACTGAGCTTAGCTCACTTATCAGCTGGCTTGCAGGCATCTTGCAGCGGGACTGTTTTAGATGTCAATATAATTTAGGCAAATGTATGCAACTTTATATATACATAGATATATATACATATATATATATGTGACACATTTAACTTTTTGGCAATTTTTAATCACAAAAGTTTGTCGGCCGGCTCGTCGCGTCTGCACAAATTTGCATATTTCTAATTCCAAAGTTGTAATTAGTATAATTTTACACCTCTAATTGGATGATGATTTGCGCAACTTCATTCTGTGAGACGCGTCTCATGTGCTACACTCAAATATGCACATGCATTATATATAAGGCCAAAACCATTGGACGACGACGACGACCTTCATCAGATTCAGTTTCAGTTTCAGATTCAGAGAGTGAAAGTCATTAACATAAGTTTGTAATTACAGTGTCCACAGCATGGGGCTCATATAACAAATTTACATTTGTGTCACTGTCTCCATCTCTCTGTTTGTGTCCGTCCCCAATCCCCATTCCATTCCCCCATCCTTAATTCAGACGTCTAGCTGAGCTTATGTCATAAAATCCTCAACTGTCACACTAAATGCTGACAGACTTGCAGCAAGCTGCAGAGGCTCAAGTGTTGCCTGCACATGTGTGTGTGTTGCATGTTTGCCTGACATCTTGAGAGGCTTAAGGCAAAAGTCAGCCAAGGCAGGCCAACACTTCTCTCTCTCTCTCTCTCTCTCTCTCTCTCTCTTTTGCTGTCATTTTGCTAAGCATCCTTTAGGTCTGTACATATAACCTTAATCCCAAAACCAGTTAAAAGATTTTTAACATTTTTTCATATTCAAATTGCATATAAGATTTCACTTATTTTTATTAGTATTATGTCAAAATGTCTTTTTCATTATAAATCTTAATTTAAAATTTCATCTTATACCTAATATATTTTTATTTATTTTATTTTCATTTTAATTGTTTATTGAAATTAAATAAATATTGTTTTTGTATATCTGTTAAGCGTTTTTGGTATTTTTGAGTTTAGCTAGTTTATTAATTTTAAATTTCACATCATTTAAATAAATAAATATTTTTAAAGATTAATGAACAACTTTTACAAGTGACTGACACGCAAATTAAACATTTGTTTAAGCTTGCCTTTCTTGTTTGTGGATTTTTATATTTGGTGTCCTTTAAAAGGATGCTTTCAACTTTTTTTTAAAGCGAAAGAGCAAATAAAGATGTCCTCAATCTGTTGCAAGCATCGGAGCAACCAAATATCATGTGAGTCGACCAAATGCAAAACCCAAAAATAAATACCATGAAAAGCTAATGCACATGCACCCACACAGACATACACCCACACACATACATACACCCACACACACACATGGAGAGATCTATCGAATCACATACACTACAATGGGCATTGAGCTGAGTTGTCAAGTCATTTTGAATGTTTTTGATTTCACTGATTTGTTTATTTATGCATAAAGCATGCAATTTTTGCACTTTATGCGAACATCAGCAGAAATCACCAAAAAGCGAGTTGTCATCCACTCTGTGTGTGTGTGTGGGTGTGGGTGTGTGGCATGCAACGTGGGTTAACTTCCACATTTTTATTCCTTATTTCTTTTTATATTTTTGGTTGTTGATAGCCGATGTCGTTATTGTTGTTGGCTGTTGTGTATTGTGTTGTGCTGAGAACTTTAGCTGGGCCACAAAACTTAGATATTCCAAGCGAATGCACTCGCACGCAATGTGCACTGTGCAATGCGCAATGTGCAATGTGCTCGATGCGAGTGGGTTTTCTGCAAACAAATCAAAATCAAATATTTTTGTGTATGTGTGTGTGTGTGAGTGTGTGTGTGTGTGAATGCGACTTTCAATCGTAAACATGGCTGCCATTTGCCGCAGTTACAGGAAACGGAAACGGAAGTTGCTACACAACGATTTCATTTGCGCCCAACAACTTTGGAAATGCTGCATTTCCAATGGTTTCTTCTTCTTCTTTTTTTACACAGAGACTCTGACTCAGTATGTCCGTCCGTTTGTCCGCCTGTCTGTGTGTGGCTTTGTTTGCATTGACACGGATCGGCTATCAACTGGCAAACTTGACTGGGCCCCCAAGGCTGCGTTCTGCAACTTGTGGCGCCTTAAAGCGAAATCCACTAAACTTGAGGGCAAGCCAAGACATAAATATTGCGTGTACGCAACTACACTCAGAGAAAAGAAGGCTCCTAAATTAAAG